TGTTAAATTTGATTGTGGGTTGTCTATTCTGGTTGCAAGAAAATTGAGAATTAAAAAAGTGGGACTTCTTCCAAAGGGATGGTCTGCCCTTTTTCCAAATGGCGGGATTTGAAATGCTTTGGAAAATTCGAACTTTGTAAAAGGTTGCATTTTTCTAAATCCTTGTTAGAAAAACCCACCGTCAAATTTCACAGGCACCACAGTACAGGGCATATCTATCGAATTACACCCAGAAACAAGCACCGTTGTGTCGTATACCGCCGTGAAAGAAAAAAAGAGCCCCAAAAAAGCGACTGATCGGAGTGGTATTAAAAAAGACAATTGACTCCCGGAGACCCGACTTTCTTGGTATCGATCGATAGATGACATGCACATCTAGAGCTACGTCAAATGTGATGGTGGGTTGTCTATTCTGTTCACAAGAAAGATGGTACTTTTCCAAAGGGATGGTCAGTCCGTTTTCTCCTTTTCCAAATGGCGGGGGCTGACTACTGAGTCCCAAAATAGCTACTGATTCCATTGGCCCGCAAGTTGGTCATTTATCCTCCAAAACTCAACATCCCTAACATTATTCGATAGATAACGAGAACTACTTTTTTCATGTAAATTTTGAGGGAAGGTTTGTTAGCTCTTTTACGAGAAAAGACATGCCCAACAAAAAGGGACATTTTTCATGGAGGATGGATGGTCTGTCCATTTTTCCAAACAGCGGTTTTTGAAAAATTCGGCAGCCTTTTGGTTTTTCGAACTGAGGATGTCAGGAACACATGGTGCTTGTGTAGATATAGTCCAAAAGGCAAAGTAGTCAAGTCGAAAAGTGAGATCCGTTCATTCATACATTTGAAACAGAGTGAATTCCACAAAATCCAGATCAAACCTGTGAAACAGCAACAAAAATTGGTTCCTTCATTCTAGTTTGGCACTCGGAATTGAGACGACAGTCAGGGAGATGGTTACAAGTCAGTTTTATTGATTGAGTGAGACTATGTTCAAGCTATATAGGGGAAGGGGAAGACTGGGAAGGTATATACGGGACTTGGAATGACTAACCTAGTGTCATGACAAAGAGAATGAAGGAGGGGAAAGCTGACAGGCAGCGCAGATAGTGTCAGTGGTAGTGGGCAAAGAAGAGTAGGCCAGTGAGTAGTGTCGTTTGGCAGTGCAATGGCTACATAATCTACAATGGAATGGGAGTGCACCTAAAAATATTGTGAGGATTTCGCCAAGTTTTTCGTAATTCTTGCGTCCAATCCCTAGTTCAACCACATGTCTATCCAGTCCTTGTGCCAGAGAGCCGATATCCGTTACCATCCTAACCGAACCACCAAGAAAAAAAGGAGCAATGATGCAAAAGGTAAATGTTAGTCATGGTAGGCCGAAGACAAACAAGCTGGTGAGGAGAATTACTCTGCGTTCGTCGATGAAGGACGTTGTATAGAGGTCGAGTCGTTCGTGGAGCGGTGCCAGTGTCGATTGAAAGAAAAAAAGTGATCAAGAAGCAAAGAAGGAGCAAATAAAAGGAGTGACGGAAAAAGGACTTTTTGTAACCAGAAGCGGGGTTTGAAATACAATGGGTACCGCAAATCACCCGGTGCTCTTTTACTACTTTCCCTCTATTATACATACAAAAGGTTGAACTTGAGCATTGTTGCGATTTCAGACGCCATGACTCTCTCTGCGGAGCTGTGGAGCTTTTGTTACCCTTGTTCAGCCTTAAAGAGCTGGTCGACTGGGCCACCGTTGCTGAATCCAACGCCAAATAGGCATAGTGATGTCTCTTCCCCTTCTTTTTTGTGCCATCCTTTGCCAGTGGTGTCATCTCTTGTGTCTCCCTTTCTCTATGACTGTGGAGGGGGGTTGTTGTTGTCTTCCTGCTTTGCACCCATTGAATTGTTACCCTGATATCTTTACCCCTGAATACAATATTGCATGAATGCTTACCCCTAAAAGTCAGAGCACTTCCATACCCTTTCGGTGTTGAAAAATACCAAACTTGCCTCTTTTCTGTCGAATCAAGCAAAACCAACATCCTACTCTATCTGTTTTCCCTTGCGAGAGCATAGAAACATCCTTTTATCTAGCTACATTAACTTTACTAGTCGCTACATAGCAGATCAAGACCTAGACCTTTTTACAAGACTCGTACCTTCTTTCACATCCCGATTGCAACTTCAAATCTCTCTTTTCTTTTCTCTCCACTGCCCTTACTAAAGATTGAGCTTGACCCGCCAAAAGTTCTGGTGTTCACTTCACAAACATGATCATAAACACTTTGACTTTTTTCAAATTGTCACATTTCAGCCAAAAATAGCCGTAACAGTTGTCGAGGACGAGGAGGAACCCTCAGCGGAGTTTGATATTTTTTCCACTCTGCTAGGGATCAACGGCCTTTTTGATTGGGCTATGGAGTCCGCTCTTCCTGGAGTTTAGTCTTTCCCTTTTTCGTCTTTTGTCCTCTCGGCGACCCTTTTTGTTTTCTGTTGGCTTCTTCTCCTTTTTTCTTGTCGTCTTTTTCCCTTTTCGTTGTTTCTACCTCTCTCTTTCTCTTGTTGTCGTTTACTTGTTTCTTTATCTCTACTTATTGTTAACTACTTCCCCTTCTATCACTTAATCTCTTCCCGCAGCTAGCGCTGTGGGATTTAGTATAAATACCTTCCCTTTTTCCCTTCTCCCCACTTTTTTTTTTCAGTTAAGTTTTTAAATAAAGTCTTTGCAAAACCACAAAAACCTCTTGTCAAGCTTACTCACTGAAAGTCATAGTACTTCTTTTATCTCTTTGTGTTATAAATACACCTCTTTGCTGTTGGAATCTTACCATACAAGCATCTTTATTGTTGAATCAAGACGATCAACATCTTTTATCACTTGGTTTCTACTGCAAAAGCATAGAAACACTCTTTGGAGACTTTTTACCGGTTGCTATACGCCAATCGAGTCCTTCGTACAACACTTGTACCTCTTTCAAATCCCGTTTTGGATTTCAAGCCCCGACTTTTTCAAGTCTCTCTCACTTTACTTTTCTCTCCATTGACATTACTAAAGGTTGAACTTTGACCACAAAAGTTCTGGTGCTCACTATAAAACATAATCGTTACCACTTTTTACACCACTCAGTTACATATTTTAACCAAAAATAGCCGTAACACAGTGCCAAAAATCAGGATTACACTGCACGTTGGAAGGGGGGGATCGTGCTGCACATCATCTCCCGAGCTTTAAGCTCCGAAATCAAAAAGGCAGAAGCAAAAGTAATACCCGCGACGGGGCTCGAACCCGCAGTCCTCGGATGGCTTTATCAATCATAGAAGTCCGAAGCGATATCCAATTTCGCCACGCGGGCTGGTACATTGTCCTTTCCAAAATGTGATATAAATTTTTCAAAAGCGGAGTTTAAAAAATTAAAATCCAGTCTCTCTTTAAGCGTCTGTCACAGATTTTTTTTTTTTTGCTTCTTTCTTCTCTCTTCAACACTTTTGATACGATGAAAGCATTGATGCCAGTGGACATGCTTGCACAGCTTGTGTCTTACTACTTGAACGATGATGCTACGATACACAACAACTTGCCTTTTATAATGGATACAATCTTGACCCGATCTCTACTGAAGGATCAAGAAAGTAACGAAGATCTGACAGCAGTACGCCGAAAATGGACGACCCGTTTGAACTCTTTGATACAATCGAAGCAAGCAACTGCTCGGTGGTCCGCCATTGTCTTGATCAAACTCACCTGTGAACAATCACCTTCTCTTTTGTTTGCGCATATCCGCTCGTGGACTGGTCAACTCTTGGGTTTGGTGGCAGTAAGGCTGAACAATCAACAATTAGCAAGTGATTCTCATTCCCTTTCTCGTTTGATACAACATAGAAACAAGAAAGTACAATCGTCCACAAGGCAGCAATCGAAACACTGTCCTACTTATTCTCATACACTTCCAACAAACCCGAACTATTGCGTGAAATCACTACACCCAACCTGCCTCGATTCAACCAAGCGCTGCTTAGTGTTTGCAAGTCGGACACTCTGCTGGTAAGAAGAATAAAATAAGTGGAAAGAGTCTCTGTGGGTGAATGGTACTTGTCCATGCTCACACCTTTACTGTTACAGCCTGTCGCATTGTCCGCTTTGGAGGTCAACTTGATCCGCTTCCCCTCTCAATCTCGCCACATTACGGATCAATGTCTTCGATGGTGTTTATCAAGTTTGGATGGAAGAGAAACTGTCACCAAGGAAACGGTCAAAGTTGCCTGTCAATGCTTAGCTGCGCTGCATCACGTCAACGGTAAACTCAACAGCTCTGACCAGTGGAAGGATAATATGCTACATTTGGTTGGATCGGTACATCTGTCTCTTAATCGTCTATTTGATACAATCGATGAAGGTAAGCCTGATGGTGATGCTGTTTTGTATCAACAAAATCGGATGTCTAATGTATTTGTGACCCCTGACTTTATGCAGAGGTAGTGTTATCTGATCTTCCACCTCCCTATCCAATGGTCGACTCTTCTCCCGACCCAATGGTAGCCTTCCCTTTGCTCGTTCGGAGGGTGAAAGCTTTTACTACAGCCATCATCACTTGTCTAGGGTAAGCTAATGATATGCTCAGGTCGATGGTCTACTTACTTGCATTCCCAATGAATAGATCCTCAACGCCGTCTGTTGTATCCGTGCCCATCATACAGCTGATCGATCTTGTTTGCCGTATATACAACGTATTCGAAGGATCCCTGGTAAGTACGTTTGCTTCGAATGATCATATTGTCTTACACTCATTTACAACCCCTTTGGTATCTAGATGCGTGAATTCAAAGACAAAACCGAATTTACTTGTCTTATGTCTTGCCTTCCCGCGCTTCACCTAAGTGCTAACAAGATAGTTTCGGCATTATTACTCAGGTAAGGGTTAATATGTTTGTGGGTGATGGGAAATGCCAAGCTGACACTTTTTATTGGTAGCTCGGGGTGCCACTTGTCGGGATATAGCAAACTCTTCTCTCGGGTTCTTATTCGAATGCTGAATGAATACAAAACTCAAAGGTAAGCGACTTTAGGATCACCAACTGGTACTGACGCTGGTGGCCTCTGGATCATTTACCTAGGACGGTCAAGCTATCTGTTTACAGTATCGTATCTTTGTGTCTACAGCAATTTGGTCTTGTTTTTGGTGAATTGATCTGCAAACCTCTTGTAATGACTATTTTGGAAGACATCCAGGTAACTGAGCAAACGGTTACAGATATGGCACCTACTGAAATCAAGGTAACCCGATAAAAAACAGCGTGCATTATTTCACCCCTTAAACTCATGCCCTTTGTACTACCATTGCTAGAACAAGTCGACAAAGAGAAAGAGGGATACTTTGACGAACTCTGACCTTTTAGCCAACAGTGGACAAATCACACAAGCTCCTCATGACATTCAAATGGCGGGATTGGATTCTTTACAACACCTTTTCAACTGCTTTGGATCATCTATGGATCTACACACTCGAAATACCATCGATTCCGTTGTTATCAATCGACTTTTACTCTCAGCACAAACAGCATTGGGATCCATATCTACCAGCGATACAGCGGTCAAGGAAAAGCTTTATCAATGTCTTTTAAGCTCTATTATGAACCCTATTGAAGTCCAGGCATCCGCTCTACCTCATGCTATCCGCATCTTCTCGGCAGGTCTCAACGAGCAAAGTCATCAGGTAAGATATATACCTTTGCCATACACAATCAGGAAATCATTTTTAACCTTTGCCCCATGTACATGCGACTAGTTACAAGCGATATGCAAGCAAAGCCTAGCCATTTGCAATTTGATTTCACACCCACGCATGCCGCCCACCCAATCGACAGCCAATATGATCGCCGCGAAATTAAACCGAGCTATCCAGGCTAGCGAAGCGGATCCTGCGACTTCCAACACTCTTACTTCGACCAATTCTTCTATTCAACAGAACAACAGCACGGATACCTTATACAACAGCCCTGCCACGACCAGTCCTTTAGATGCAACATCTCAACAACCTCATAGTAATACAGCAACTCCTATGGCCGACCCCAGTATAGAATCGATGACGACCGTTGACGAAAATATCGACAAGAACGAAAGCAACGAAAACGAAATGCTGGCTGCAATTGAAAAGGAGATCAACTCGGTTGTGAACAAGCCCATGGACGACAAGACACCGAACGATTTGATGGCCACTACCACAACTGCTATGGATGAAGTTCAGGTCAACATTATTGATCTTACCGGCGATCTGGGCGATGTAATGGAACAACAACAAGTGGAGACTATCGTAACGACAACCATCACCAACGAACACAAAGATGCAAGTGCCACGCAAACACAAGAAACGGAATCCACAAAAGCTGACCTAGACCATTCTGAAAAAGCCTCTACTGTTAGCGTCATTCCTCTTGATGATGAATCGGATGAAGACTTGGATATGGCATTACCAGATATCGACATGGCAGGTCCTGACACTGAAGACGACGACGAAGATTAACACTCCTCTTGCTTCGTTTTGTAGATATTCCACCCATTCATCCTTAGCTTAAACAACACTAGGCTAGATAACCCCCCTCATCCACACTACATACATAGTTACTGCATTGAAAATCTTCGCATGGGCAATAAAAACATTTTTTTTTTTTT